ATGTTTGTATGAAGATAACATTCAGACATTTGTGTCCCTTCTTTGATTAACTTGGCTTTCTCAGTTAAAATAGGTTATAACTATTTGTATATATCTAATATAATATAAATTAATCAAAATGTAGCACAGAACAAAATGTCATTGACTTAAGGAAAGTAGATTTCCCGTAAGTATTCCTTAATTATTATATTTGTTTCTAAAGATAAAAAGCATTATTAGTTAGTGTTTTGTTAGTCATTGTTTTTGTTCTTGTTTTCTCTTGAAATACTGATTATGTTAGTTGCAATTCTAATTTATCTTCATTTTAAAAAGATTTGTATATGTGAAAAAAAATTATGAACACTTTGAATACAGATTGGCAGGAACTCTTGTTCTCCATTGTACAGTTCTTCATCATGACAATCAGGAAATTGCACTGGGTTTCAAAGTACTTATTAAATTGCTCAGCACATTCCTTCATTGTCCGTTGGCAAATGTTGATTGTAAGCCATATATAGTTGTTGAAGAATTAAGAATGAGTTTTCAGTTACTTCATTGTATATCTTCAGATGCACTCATATCACCATTTAATAACTAAATGTTTAGAACACTTATAAATAGACATGGCTACATCCAATTTTGCAGAAATGGTGTTCCTTTAGTATGTGATAATCTGTGAAGTTGAACCTTTTTAAATTTCAAGATTCAATTGAAGCATTAGGTTTATACATTCATTCAAGTCATTAAGTAAACCATTTTTAATTTAAATTTTTTTAATCAGTGCCATAATAACATTGCTAGGGTTTGATATAAGAGTCATGTAATCCTGTAGTTTTTAGAAAAATTAAATGAGTTTATTGTATAAACCTTTTATTTCAGGACCACCTGGTATGAGTCCAATGAATCCAAGGATGAATCCTCCTCGAGGTCAACCCCTTGGTCCCATGAACCCAGGGGTAAGTCACAATATGCTTTGTACTATAAAAACTGAGGAGGAAAGCAGAATTGTTATTGACTTATCAACCTGTTTGCTTGGTTTTCATAACACATATAAAAAGTAGGGAATGTACAGTGAAACTAATTAAAAATGTATACAGACACATGAAAAATATCTTTTTAGCCATTATAGAAAAATATTGTGTCAGTATAAAAGATATTCTGTTTTTCAAAGTGTATATATTTAATAAATGAAAACAAACTACTCATGCATTTTATTGACAGAAAAAGGATCACTGCTTGTACATAAGATGTATTTTTCTAAGAGTTTTAAAATAAATAATAAAAATATAGTAATAATCAATGTCTTCTGAAGGAAAACAGGGTTTGGCAATAGCTAATTTCACTATCTCTGCAAGGCCAACTCTGACCTAGAATTATTGATTAGAAAAACTCTCCACATCAAACAGTATTCTCCAACCCTAAATAACATGCAGTCTTCATTAAATTGCACCTTTTTTAATATGTATAATAATAATACATAATATTGTTATGTTTTATTGTTCTAACTACTACTCATTAAATATTGTTAACTGTAGCATTATAAATTTAATGATGTCAAAGGATTGAAGTAAACTACTGATATTTTTCTTTAGATATTGAACATGGAATCTGCATAATTTTGAAACGTTTATCTGTCTTCTTTTTTTAGATATATGTACATTGTTTTTCATCATAATAATAATCTGATATTCTAGAATTATGGAGCAATGAGGCCACCCCCGAACAGTGCAATGGGACCAGGAGGACCAGGGATGCCACCTATGTCGATGTAAATTTTCTTAACTCCTAAATGTTTTTTACAAAACATCTTCTCCCATTTCTTAAATAATCTTTATTTTAGAAGTTTGAATTTGGATGTTTTATGAATAAATGAAAAAAATGAATTCCTTGTTGTTTTGTTATTTTTGGTTAAAAAAAACACATTCAGTGAAGTAAAAAATAACTGAAATTGATATTGCAGAGGAGTTACTGTTATCCATGAAATCATTTACAAAAACGAAGAGTCAAGGGAAAACAAAGTTAAATTTTACATTTTTAATCCATGATGGAATATCTGTTTTTGAATTATATATTCACTGTTGATCTAAAATTATGTCTGTGTTAATTTATCTAAGTCTGTGTTGTTCTTCTTCCATTTTATCATCTATTGGTTTACTTGTGTATCTTTATTAACTTGTCCAAGCCCATATTCTTCCCTTTCCCTTTTTATCATCATTTGTTTACCTACCTGTGAATTTGTATTAATTTTTTTAAGCCTACATGTTTACCTTTTATCTGTTGAGCTACCAGTGTATCTGTGTTAATTTGTCTAAGCCTAAATTATTCTTTTATTTTATTATCTGTTGATTTACCAGTGTATATAAAAAAAAACCTGCCTGAACTTTAACTGTGTGTAGTGTATACACTATGTATATATTTATGTAAAATTGGAAGAATTTGCATAAATAGTTTTCATCATAAAAATACAATTTGCTAAATTTTATTCTGTAAAAAATAACCAAATTGGACTCTAAAAAAAAAACATTTTGACTTGTACATTAAGAGTCAGATGTTTTACAAATATTTTATATTGTACAATTACAAACTATTTTTACAAGTAAGTACAAATAACTTCTGGTGAGAAGATAATAATAATAATAAGATAATTACTACATTCCATTTGCTTAAAGACCCTACCAAGGGAAACACTGACAAAATATCACAAACAAAATTCATGTTGAATGTTTTATACACATAAATGTATGTGTGTGCATATATTTTTAATTATATGTAACTTATTAGTAGTATAATGCTTTATGGTTATATATATGTGTGTAAAGTATTAAAATTTATTTTAATCAGTTATTCTACAGTGTTTTCTTTCTTTATTAAGAACAATATAGAATTCCTGTTTCTTCATTCTAAGTTAAAATACACAATTTCTTGCACCATTTAGTCTACAGTTGTCTGTCTGAAAACCATTATGTTTTTCTTTAACTAGTTAATAAATTAATTCTAAGCAGGAAAGCCATGAGTATAAAAGAAATTAAAACAATTTTAGTAATGAATAATAAATTTTTAAAAGTAAGTGGGAATGAACATATACATTTTACACCTTTTTTTTACACATTTCGTTTAAACATTTTACTAGGATTAGTTAAAACAAAACATTTCCCTTCTAGTCACACTAATCTTGGTTCATTACTACATGTAACAAGAAATTAAAATATTTCCCAAAAACTTTTACTTTTATCCAGTCATTTTTGTTGTTTTTTGTCTTTCTAACATCGTAGTATTACTTGTCTGTATCCATTTTCCTTCTATCTTTGTCTCTACTCATCTGTCTATTAGTGCATGAACTAAAAGAAAATTACCATGACTTTACTTGAATAGGCCTGGTCCAGGTGGAAGACCCTGGCAACCTAATACATCAACGGTAAGTTCCTCACTTCCTAAAGTTAGAAGAATAAAACAAAGGTTTGTAGTAAGCATTAACTGTGTGGTATTGATTAAAAGGCTCTCCTTCACATGAAATTAAGAATTTGCTGATAACAAAATATTTTTTAATTTTTTAAGACATTTCAACTTTAAAGTTTAACCCAACATCAACATAAAAATGGTTAATGTGGATGAGAAGCAAGTTAAATTGATTACGTAATTCTGTTATCTGAGAAGCAAACAAATTAGAAGAAAAAAAATTAATGAATTTTGTCTGCTTCACAATGCCCCAATTATCTGTTGTGCTTTACTGTTTGAACTCTAACTAACTACTAAGGAAGACACAAATTAACTGAAGAATAAAAAATGGGAAAAGGACTGTGATTCAAGTATATGCATAAAAAAATGTTCTTATCAAAACTAGTATCCTCTTCCATTATAAGTGGCCACTAAAAATAGTCCAAATACATTTCAAGGAACAAGCGTACAAATAATTGACTAAAAAATCAACAGTTTTAAAAAAAGACAGGCATGTTAAAGGAAGTGGATTTGATAGATTATGTTATATAAGCATTAGAGAAAATTACTTTTCAGCTTTATGTTCCCAAATTTAAGAGTAGTAGCATATCATTTGATCATCTTTTTTTTTTGGGGGGGGGGGGTAGATGCATTATAGAAAATATAATTAGCTTTATTGAGTCATTTACCTATTTATTGTTGCCTGATTACTCTTAAAGAAGAAGTCTTCTTGGATCAAAACCCTAATGAATTTATATTTCTGTTAGAATTCTAAATGAATTTTTGATTTCAAGAAATAACTAAAGGTGATTTTTTTTTGTCTTGAACTTTTAAAGTCTAAAGTGGAAATTGTTTGAGAAAAGTGTTATGTAGAATGTTATGTCTGTTACTTTACAGATAAATTATTCTTCGGCGTCTCCAGGTGGTCATTATGTAAGTCCATATTGATTTTAATTTGCCCCAAATAATTGCTTTCATTTTTTAATGTTCAGTCTTCAGTCCAGTCATTGAAAAGTTGTAAATTTTTTATGACATTTTGAAAAGCAAGTTCGTGAAAGGTAATACTTGAGTAATAAAGTTTGCATACATTTTATGCTAATGTATACAGGCAGTATTATTTATTGGTTACTTTGTGAGTACTTACTTGTTTCTCTATGATGTTTTTTTTTATTGTGATTATTAATGCATGTTGTTTTTTTTATGAATGTTTGATAATTAAGGTTTATAATCTACATGTTTATTAGATATAAACAGTTAGTTACTCAATTGGGAATGCACAAGAGTCTAATTGAGTAATTACATAGATTTAGTTTGAATGCAATGTCCTACTTCTTAATTTCTGAGAAGGTAAAATCAGTTACCATCTAAACTGTTCCAAAAGGTTTTTGTTAACTTATTATGTTTAATTAATATTACTTTTATAAGATCCAGCTTTTTACTGCATTTCTCTTAGGGTCCTCCAGTGTCCAGTACAGGTCCTCCTGGTCCTGGAACTCCTATAATGCCCAATCCGCAAGGTAAGTTTGAAAATTTTTTTAGTTGCATTACCTGAGTACTTGACTATTTTTGATAATTTCTTTGGTAAAGGAAGTATTAGATATGAATTTTAATAAAAGTATTTCACAAATAATAAATTTATTACTTTGAATGTTAATTTAAAGAAATATTTATTAAGCATGAATAAAAATGGAGAGAGAAATGGCCTGGTAAGATGCCATTGTAGCAGAAGGTTTTGATATCTCAGTATAGGTTGATCATTTTTCCTAGTTTAAAATTGCTATTGCTTGAATTATACATCTTGTTTTTTTTTGTTGTTGTTGTTGCTGAAGATAATGCAAAACTACAATAAATATACTTAATATAAATGTTGTAGTAAATTTTGTCAGCATTCAAAATGCAATGAATAGGTTTATATATTCAATTTATAATACTTTAGAATTGTTTTAGTGTTGTGTTTATAAAAGAAATTATTTTATTTGAAATTTTGCCCACTTTGAATATTTCTTATAATTGTTATACAGTTATAGGTAGCAAGTCATTAATAAATACTCAGGTAACCTTGAAATATTTTGTTCTAGTGCAAATACAATGTTATTTTAATTTTTTTTCACGTAAAGTGTGAAAGTGCACCTAACATCTTTTCAACCCTTTTTTTTTTCTCATCTGTGGCTAAAATTCTGTCATTTTATCCACATTGTCTTTATTCTTTTAGCCTGGTTTATTTTATTTATACATTTTTGAAAATTTTGTATGTAGCTACATGTAGAATAGTTTCTTGTTTTAGCAGAAATGAACATTCATTTTAATTAAAAGCAGTATAGTAGCTACATGTAGTATAGTGTCCTCTCCTGGCAGAATTGAACATTCATTTTCAAAACAATGTAGCTAGCTACTCATAGTATAGCGCCATCTCTTGTCAAAATGAAACATTCATTTTAAACCTTCATATGTTCTAGGTACATCTGGCCCTTATTCCCCTGCAACTCCAAGAATGAATGCCCCCAACACGCGAAGAGGTGAAGCTTTATCCATAAACTTTTAGTGTTCTACCCTTAACTTTCACAGGTTCCTTAAAGAACAGCTTTTAGTAATAATACTCTGATTTAAAGAGGTGCTTGTCTTCACACCTTTCCTTCTCTTATTTGACATGGCTGGCTAATTAACTTTTATTAATACTTTTTAAGTATCTGTAATTTCTTGTACTTACAATTTTTGACAGAACTAACATTAGTAAAAAGATTTATGAACTAAGAATTTTGTCTGGGAAACATTTATAATCACCTAATATTTTTCAAAAGCTTAGAGCTAAAATCAGAAGCCTGGGGTCATAACAAAACCATTTGCTTTTGAGGCCTGGTGAAACTTTATTATGTGAAATGTTGGATAATACTCTTTTATTTTAAGCAAAAAGACTAAAATAAAATATAAAAATGTTAAGAATTCTCTGAGTGCATATTTTTGCACTAATATGTGGATTCTTAGCATGAGGTTGGTGCATGTGATGACAAATATTATCATTTTGTTTCTTCTGGCATGGTTTTTGTACTTTCTACTATAAATTGCTTGAAATAGAATACTTTTAGAAAGGTTAGGTTTGGTCCTGCACTGTGTACAAGTAAGTTTTTTTTTTATCCATCTTATTAAATTATATTTGTAGATGATCTTTTGTTGTGAAGCAGTAATATTTTTATTTATCAGAACAATGTTTTCATTTTATAATTAACACTTTGAAATTCAAGAGCAGGAATTGTTTAATTTCTCACTTTTTACTCAAGAAATAAAGAGCTACAAGAAAACTTATTTGGAGCAAAAGACCCGTCTTTTGTTCAACTTTAAACCAATTGTATGCTATTAGTAAATACTTGTAGAAACTTGTATCGGCCATCCCTTAATGTAGTTTATGCTGTGCTTTATAAGTGTGGGAAGAACAGTATAATAATCTGAACATTTTTGAATCAAAAATTAAATTTAAAATGCTGGATTACCTTGCTAATTATATTTAGCTTGTTTGTGTCTGAAACATTTTTTAATCAAACTTTTAATTTCAGCTCTTTTGGCTTTTTAGATAACATAGGTCTGAGAATGTGAGGCAGCATCCAGTGCTAACAATAATAACTAAATATTGTTTTACTTATGGGTGCTTATTTAGTTACTATTTAATGGTTATAACAAAGTGACCATTCAGTATTCAGCACTAACTACTTAACCATTTGGTTAATGGAAATGTTTGACATTCACATAAGATTTATGACTTATAATTTGGGTCAAGTTTAACATGCTCTGTATGTTATAGCTAGACTTATATCAACTTAGTAGACAGCTTTTATTATTTGGGTCAAGTTTAATGTGTTCTGTATGCTAGAGTTAGGCTTATATAACTTACTAGACAACTTTTATAATTTGGGTCAAGTTTAATGTGTTCTGTATACTATAGCTAGGCTTATATCAACTTACTAGACAACTTTTATAACTTGGATGAAGTTTAGCATGTTCTGTAAGCTATAGCTAGGCTTATATCAACTTACTAGACAACTTTTATAATTTGGGTCAAGTTTAATGTATTCTGTAAGCTATAGCTAGGCTTATATCAACTTAGTAGATAGCTTTTATAATTTGGGTGAAGTTTAATGTATTCTGTAAGCTATAGCTAGGCTTATATCAACTTAGTAGACAACTTTTATAATTTGGGTGAAGTTTAATATATTCTGTAAGCTATAGCTAGGCTTATATCAACTTACTTTTATAACTTGGATGAAGTTTAATGTATTCTGTATGCTATAGTTAAGCTTATATCAACTTACTAGAAAACTTTTGTAATTTGAGTCAAGTTTAATGTGTTCTGTATGTTATAGCTAGGCTTATATCAACTTACTACACAACTTTTGTGGCTTAGCCATGTGTTTATTAGGTTATAGCTAGGCTTATATCAACCAGCTAGACAGCTTTTGTGACTTAGTTGAGGTTTAACATGTGTTCAGTAGGCTAAAACTCTGTTTATATCAACCTAAAAGACAACTTTTATGACATGAATAAAGCAGTAGACTGCTTCTACATCTACTAAGTGCCAAATGTTATGACATTATTCAAATTTACTTTGTTCAAGTAAAAACATTTTATGTTGATACATAGTAGTCAGTATTTTCAACTTGCTTAAATTTGACTTAAGTTATTAAAGTACATTTAAGAACAGTTTTAGTGGTCAGACAGCAGTTTTCTTTCATGCCCACATGTAGATTTGCATCTGTATATATGTAAACACACACACACATTTCAGAGGTATTTATATAGACATAACTATACTTATTGAGTGACATCATTTATTTGACAAAATAGTTTTGACATAAGGATTCAGGGTTTACTGTGGGAAAGAGTGACACTTTTGCTATCTTAGAATTTACATGTTAATGATATATGATCTAGAACAGCTTTTCCCCAAAAATTTTCCTACGTGACTCCATTTTGAGAGATATTAGCTTACATGACCCCAGAGAGTGCCCAAAATAATGTAGCACCTAACACATTCACAGGGTGATTTTCAAAACTTTTTAATCCAGAACAAAAAGTAGGCCTTATTCTAATCATCTTCTGTGAACTCTATGACCCACAGATTGGGAACTGCTGATCTAAAATATTAAATCCTTGAAACAAATGTAGGACTCATTGTAATAATCTTCTCTGGATTCTATGACCCACAGATTGGGAACTGCTGACCTAAAATGTTAAATCCTTGAAACAAATGTAGGACTCATTGTAATAATCTTCTCTGGATTCTATGACCCACAGATTGGGAACTGCTGACCTAAAATGTTAAATCCTTGAAAAACTGTTTATTTCATTGCATTTATGAAGTGTAACTTATTTTTTAGATTCATCTAATTCTGGTGCAGATGGAATGTACACAATGATGAAACCTGTGCCAGGTGGCAACATGCCAGGGGTGAGAAATGATCATTAGATTTTGTGATAAACTTGATATATTGTTACATTTATCAGAATTTTGTAATTTGGAAAAAAATAAGTTAAGAGCACTTATTATCAAAAACAAACTTATGTTATGTATTCTCAAAAAAAGTATGTTAAATCAAATATAATTACGTGAATAATTAGATAAACACTTATACCAAGGTGTTTCCAAATTATAAGTTCTGAGATCAAAGCTACTGACTTTTATTCTGATATTGTACAGTCTTACAGATACAGGTTTTTGACAATATACTGTGTCCTGATTTTAAACTTTTGTTTATATTTATGTGGGTATGTTTGTGAGACAAATGAACAATATTTGAATCGTATCTTACTTGATTATACATATTGTAATTCATCTCTTTTGGCCCCCGAGTGGCACAGCGGTATGTCTGCGGACTTATGACACCAGAAACCGGGTTTCAATTAACGTGGTGGGCAGAGCACAGATAGCCCATTGTGTAGCTTTCTGCTTAATTCCAAACAAATCATTTCTTTTGATCACTGCAACAATTGCTAACCTATAACCAATTGCTAAGCTATAACCATATTTTATGTTATTCCCATAGTCTTCACTAGTGTTTTTCTGTAGTATATTTTTATCATAATTATTAATATTATTATTTTATTTATAATTTCTAAACGGATGGTAAACTACAGTTTTATTTCAAATAAAAAAAAATAGTAAAAAAAAAAGTCAAACTTAAATTTCATTCAAAATTAAGAGCATGTACTACATTACAGAGTAAACTAGAGAGAGTGGTCAGTGGATGTAGTCTTTGGACAAATTAAGACGAATGTATAGTGGTCAGTGTTGTATGTAGAAAATGTAGTTTTTTTTTATGTATAAGAATGCTTTATATAGATTTATTGTCAGTGTGTTAATGAGAAAGTTTGTAACAGTTTAGTAAGTAAAATAGAATGCTTTCATTATCAGAGTTAAAACAGAGCCTTAAAAGCATTGAAAAGTTTTGAAATTATCGTAACTCTATTACTGTAGAATTTTTAACTTGTTTTCGTTGTTTATGTTTTCTACAATTTTGCCAGCTAGTGCCAGTCATAAAATATTTCAAGAACTGGTGTCTGTCATGTATAGTTAGTTTAGCCAGGCTGTTTAGATGTATTGTGGCTGGCATTGTTTTCATCTGCTGCAGACATTTTATTGCCAAGCACGGAAAGTTAAGGGTTCACTAGGATATTATAGTAAAATATAATTCTGTAAAAAAATACATTTTGTTTTAGACTTGCAGTGTATAGCTAATATTATAAAAGCATCTAAAATGCAGTGTTTTGGTAATACTTTTAACTATGTGTATTACATAATTGTGTAGAAATTATCAGTCGAATGAACATGACATTATTTTCTGCTTAATGCTGTGACGTTTTGAGCTTGGAATATTAAGTGCACATGAGATATGTTGGAAGTCCGTTCTCCCATAGCACATCATCAATTGGCTAGCTTTCTGACTGAAAATTCCTGATAGAAATCATATAGCATTTTACTGGCTGTTCATGGCAACTCTTTAAATAACCATATAATGGACATTAAATGTGAACTGCCCAGGAAATTGTTATTGTTGTTTTTTGACACAATGGGAAAGTGCTACTTTCAAGATTCATGGTTGGAGGATTATAAATACAAAAGGTTGCTGATACAAGCCAAACATTTTACAATAAATATCACAACCACTTGTGTTTGAACTAACTGTATATGTGATTTTATATTCTAAAATAGCTTTATAATATTGTTTAAAAAAAAGGCTTGATTTTCTGATCCAGTTTTTTGTTTCAACTTGTCTATACTGTTGTTGCATTATAATAAGAACAAGTGAATGACATTGACATCAGGACAATTAAGCAATGCACTAGTCGTCACTACTGTAATACAAGAAAAAGGGTTAAATAATTTAAACCATGACAGGACAATTAAATGACAGAATATTTGAAATAAGCATAACATATTAATAAGAAGTTTTTACTGTTACTTTCTTTAATAAGAATTAATACTTTTGTAAATTTAAGAAGAAATATTTTGATAAACTTAGAAGGGGTTTTCATGTTTTTCTGCAGTAGAGAAAGTTTAACCTTCATTAAAACTGTCTGTTTACAATAACTTGAGATATTCTCACCTTGTTGTTTTTATATCCTGACCTAACAACAAGACTTTTAAGAAAAAGTATGAATAAAACATTGCTTTTAATAACTTAATTTTTAGGAATTTTCATTTTTCTGTATATTGTTGATCATGATGTACTTGACCTTGTGTTGGGCTATACAGAGTAATGTATTCAAGCTGATGTCAAAGAAATCTGGTGAGATTTGTAAAACATTGGTAATCTGTAATTATGTGAAAGAGAAACTTTATTTAATATTTGAGTAAGCTCTTTCTATTGTACTAAAATATCTTTAAGGTTCTAATGCAACCAAGTGTCATTAAGTGCATATACAGTATTTATCATAAGGAAGAAAATTACTAATACTTGTTGGAACTCCCTAATTGTGTTGAAGCTCATAATATATGATATTTTCTTTATCATTTTTAGTTTGCAATGGGTCCAGGTCCGGATGGTCCAATGGGCCCTATGGGACCAGATATGGGTCCTCCTGTAATGAATGGCATGTCTTCAGCTGGTATGTACACCTGTTTAACATTTTCATGAAAACTAGGTAAAATATATGTTATAAATATGGATAAACTTTAAAAGGAGAATAACTGTGATCCTCTAATCTGTGAATTCACTGTTATATGTAATGTTGTAGCCTAATTAAGATTTTAATCCAAACGTTTCTAGAAATGTGTACTGTTGTTTAGACAGAAGCTAAATTTAGTATGATGGGTGGATCTCAAAGCTGGAGCTTTCTCCAAAGTGTAGGAAAAATTTTTAGCTACATATAAAAAAGCAAGTTAGGCTAGAGTTAGTCAGGCAGTCAATAAAGTAGTGAGTTATTAAAAGAGAAAGTTTGTTAGCAGTTAATCATTAATTAGTAATCCGTGCATGATTTATCAGCTTGTCTGTTATTGTTTGAGTAATCCGTGCACAATTTATCAGCATGTCTGTTATTGTTTGAGTAATCCGTGCATGATTTATCAGCTTGTCTGTTATTCGTTGAGTAATCCGTGCATGATTTATCAGCTTGTCTGTTATTCGTTGAGTAATCCGTGCACAATTTATCAGCATGTCTGTTATTGTTTGAGTAATCCATGCATGATTTATTACCATGTATGTTATTGTTTGAGTAATCTGTGCATGATTTATCAGCTTGTCTGTTATTGTTTGAGTAATCCGTGCATGTATTATCAGCATGTATGTTATTGTTTGTGTAATCTGTGCATGATTTATCAGCTTGTCTGTTATTGTTTGAGTAATCCGTGCATGTTTTAATCAACTTGTTTGTTATTGTATGAGTAATCCATGCATGCATTATCAGCATGTATGTTATTGTTTGTGTAATCTGTGCATGATTTATCAGCTTGTCTGTTATTGTTGGCCAGTTTTTGTTAGCTTGCTGTGAAAGGTGAATATGTATTTCAGTGAAGAACTAGAGATAAGAAATCAAAGAAGTAAGTGAACTTTCTGTTAAAGATATATTTCTTTGTTTTTTTATAATTTGTAGTGCATACTGGAGGGACTTAAGACATTTTGTCAGTGAAGTTAGAGAAAAAAAACAACGACCTTTAATCTCCAGATAATAAGCTTTTTAAATTTACCCAATGTTTCACCCTCTTGTGGCTTCATTAGGGTGGAACATTGGCTGAAAAAAATAATTAAAAATTATTATCTGAAGAGCAAAGGTCGTTTTTTTTTCTCCAACTTTATTGTCAAACTGTGTAGTTTATATGTGGTCCTACTGTTGAATATTGGTAAGACTAACCATAAAACTTGGCATTTAAGAAATAAAACATTTTTGTTATTGTTAAGTGGATTGGACTTTGCATTGTTCATTTTATAGAATAAATCTAAAAGGACCCAACGAACAAAAGATACTATTGAAACAATACTAATAGGTTATGGATTTGTTAAAAAACATTTAACTTTGGACGATAAAAGAATCCACATTTTGCCAACTAAACAAGTATTTTGGTCAATAATTTTTCTGTGTCCAAATTAACCAACTGAAGAGTGCAGTTCAGTCTGTTCTTCATTATAAAATTGTTTATCTGGTAATTAGGTGATGGCCTAGATGGAATGAAAAATTCTCCTGCTAATGGACCTGGAACCCCAAGGGAAGATGGCCCTCCTATGAATGAATTTGGTATTCCTGGTTATGGACAGGAAAATGTAAGTGTTCACATAATATAGAAAATATGATTGCTTCTTTACAGATATATTTGTTCCCATTTTATTTGGGAGCAGACTAATTAACTCCTGGTATCGGGTGTACAAGTGTTTGTTTTTCTACTTCTTTACTCTGCTCTATCATCCTTCTGTTTAGGAACAATAACAGGATATTGATCAAGTTCTTAGCCTAAATTTTCAGTTTTTGAGGTTTGGCCAAGAATCTAGTTGGTTTCAGTGTGTATCGAAGGCCAACCGTTGATGCTATATTCTTGGGATACAGATGCCGGGGGATACATCCGGGATTGACATGCAGTGCCATTTGCAGGCTTGTGCCAGTCACCAGGGCGCACCCTTGTGAAATTTAAGTGCAGGATAAAGTTCCAGGTACGTTGGCAATCGGTCTTTTCACTGGAGTCGTTACCCTCACCCCTAGTGCACTTCTTACCTTGCTTACTGTCACATGCTGAAGACTAAAACTGTAGCTGAGGACCACTTGGTTTTGCTGTTTCTTTGCTGTTTGTGTGTATTTTTAATTATGTTTAATTGATTTTTATTCTTAATTTTGGTTGGTCTGTTTTTGTTTGTGTTTGTGTGTGATTTCTTTTCCCATTTGTTGGACTTTCCTTTTTAATGCATTGCTTTCTTGTACTTTTCTGTACTGTAGAATAGATTTTGTGAAACGTATCTTTGTTTATGTCTTAGTCCTACATTCTTACTGTCCCGTCATTGCTCTGAAACTAGGCTGTTGGAAAGTGCTTGTAGTTCCCTCCCTCTCAGCCAAGACTCAAAGTACAAAATTCATCAACACTGAACAATTGATTGGCTGGAAAAAAAAAGAAATAAAAAGATGGACTGAAAATCATCAAACACTGCACTTAAATTTCTGAGAGGTATAGCTTTGCAGAAAGGGCCATGACGGTACTTTTTTGCAAACGTTTGGCAGCAAAGGAAACTTCGAACAAACAAGAAAGTGTTGTAGATTTGTAGAATTATTTTGTTTATGTTCCTGCAAGGTTGTACTTATTATTTCAGTGGATAAACTTATGGTGAGATTATAGATTTTTTTTTTTTTGTGGTTTGTTTTCTAATAGGAATGATGGGAGTTGATGCTAAACTTTGTTCTTCTCAGCTCAGTTTAAGACTTCAAGTGTGAATTAGCCATTTCTTCATTCACTTTTCAAATACAGTTAGAACAACTGCATCTTAAACAGAATAATTACTTTCCTGTGATTATTCTTTTTTGTTTTGTCAGTTTTTAATTTTTTTCTATTTCATTTTACATTTAAAGAAAACAAAACTGTGCATGCATTTTCAAAATCACCCCCCACCACACTGCAACTCCCTTTTGTTCTTTCAACTTACTTTTAGATTCATTTTGCAAATGCATACAGTTGAACAGCTGAAATATTTGAATTTTATATACTTTGCAGCTTTAAATGACTACAGTTAATCATAGTTTTTCTGCTCTGTTATGAATGTTTGCTTTTCAGGCAGCATGATAGACCAATTAGGGTATTGAGACAGCTTAAGAATGTTGTATATTTTTGTACATTACTATCCAAAGTATGAAGTATGTCTTCTTTACTTGTGCTTACAGGATCAGAATGAATCAGCAGCAATACTGAAAATCAAAGAGAGCATGCAAGAGGAAGCCAAAAGGTTTGAGAAAGACACCCCATCAGAACATCCAGAATATTTCATGCAATAATTGTGCTCTCAGTTCTGCTCTCCCACAACTAACCTGCCAGGGCACAGTGCCCTTCATCATGTATCCCCACCTGGGGTTCTCCAGCACTTTGATACCAATTACCACTTGGCCTAATTCCTAAACCTCAGAGACAGTGGAATAGACCTAAACAAATCCCTCAAAGATTCCAATCAAAAACCTCTTTGATCAGAGCTTGTGTGTCAGTGTGGTGACTGTACTATAGAACCCGTGTCAAGTTAGATCTTCTGCATTATATGAGAATCAACTTTACGAGCAGATTTATTTCTTGAAAACCATCTTTTAATATGACCTTCATTTTTGTTCTTTCATAATAAGTAGATCCCATCATTCTCATTAAACTAATTTAAACGTCATTTAGCTTAATGTACGAAGCTAGTTTAGAAAGTTGTTTGTATGTATATATATATATCCCAGGTTTTACCACACATACATGCGAAAAAAAATATTCAAGTCATATTTAACTCTTGTGTACGCTCTGTTTTCTTGTAGTTGGATTATAAACGATATAGGATTCTGTTCTTATATTTGTATTGTGTGAACTTGAATTTGTATGAAGTTACACAAATTTCTGCCGGTCTTCTACACATTAATGTATGATACATCTTGAAAACTGACTGGTGGGTGTAATTTTTCTCAAACTCAACAAGTAATGTGTTTTTTTAGTTATTAAATGTGGAAAAGAAGAATGTTATGCGCTTTTGAAGTGAAAGGGATCAAAGTGGGCTTGGTGTTCAGTGTCAAAGTCTTGCTTCCTTTGTACTTGGTACTTTCCTCTATTTACTTCTGTCACTCACATCATGCATCCTTTCTAAGATGCTACTTGGAAAAAATTTATATTTTCAATGGGAGCAGGAAGTGACAAATGATAATTTTCTGAAACTATTGAAGCATAGCCTCCCATTCATACATATGTTGATTTTATTTATACGTAAACCATGTTAATGATAATAGTACTACTTCCAGTGGCTCCATCTATTTATGTAAAGCTCTTGGAATGTAACGTTGTTTATATGTTTTTGTGAAATGTAATGAGCATTAATTTTTGTTAATCTTTAGTGTTAAAACATTTATAGAAGTAGATGATTTTGGGTATGAGGTAGAACAAAGATGTTTTATACAGATGAAAAAAGTAACGTTTAGACCAGCTCTCCAAACCCTGACACATTATTAGTGACTGTTGGTAATTTTTTTTCATCCCTTACCAATTTTTTTCTTTCTCAGTTTTATAATTTGCTGTTTCCTTCAACTGATAATCAGTACATACTGAGTACAAGTAATGATAGAGCTAGCAAAGATACCAAGTGTGGAATTAAGGGGTTTCATCTAAGTTATGTTATTACTGTATTTCACTTTTATAAAATACAGTTAAGCTGTTTTGAATCTTAAAAATTCAACATTTATTAGATTCATTTTCACATATTTAAATCAAAAGCAACGAAATTTTTATAATCAACACAAGCATCTAAAATAAAAAATCAGTATCATGGATAAGGTATTTATTCTGCTGTCCCTCCTCATTTATCACAATGCCAAATATTTCTTAAGATAAAAAGTTTTAAGTATTATGATACAGATAACAAATATTTTAATTAATTTTGCCCTCCCCCAGTTTTAAAAAGCATTTAACTGATGTAATGACCTTATTTTCTGAAGTTTTTATCAAATAGTAAAAGCTCAGTTAGTTTATCTCTTCATGTTTTGTACTCAATAAGTTTGTGAAAATCACTGTATCTATGAAGTAAGCACTTAAGTAGAATTATTTGCAAATGAAAAACACTTTAATTAAAACCTTCCATGGAACTTTATTTTTTAAATTTAGTAAGTTAATAAAGATATACTATCTTTGTTATTCATCATAGACTTTTATGTTACATAACATAAAGCAGCACAGGCTGTTAATCTAAGTTGAAATTGAAATGAAAATATTTTAATTTGAAAAATATTGAAACTATATATATTGCATACACTAGATGTATATTTTATTTGTTCACTGTCAGAGTTACATTTTACAAAATGGTGTGTGTCTGTTTGAAAACTCCTTTCATTCTGTTTTTACAGATTAACCAAGAAGTAGTATTTTCTGGATATATGTTGTTCATCAATTAATGAAAGAAGAAAAAAGGTTTAAGCTGATATTTACTTTTGTGTTGTATTTTCTCCAAGTAACATATTTATTTTTTCTTATTCATTTCCAGTTGTGTTCAAGCTTTTTTGATCAGTAGCTGATGATGCTATGCAGAAGTGTTTTAAGCCATTGAATGAGGTGGTTGTTTCATCATTGACTCGGTATATTTCTCGCCCATTTTTTTTTCTTTTTTTTTTTGTATACTAAGAACAGCAACAGGGAAATATTTTAGTAAAAAATCAGGTGCTGATAATCCTAGTGACTTGTTAGCATTTGAGCTGTGAAAAGAACAACTATCTGTTAATGATAAAGAAAGGACAGGTTAACTTTTAGTAAATTGGAAATTTTTTTCTGTAAATACAATGCTTTTTCCAGCTAGAAAGAGTAAAGTGTGGTTTCTTGAACATATTTATGGAAAATGTTTTGATAGTACCAGTTACTCCAATTTCCATGAATATGTTATCAACATACATTTGAATAGAACTTTTTTATAATACACGATAAAGGGTTTCTCACACATTTTTATTCCTTTAAGATTTACACCATGTTTCTTTGTTCAGATTACACCAGTAATGATTATGAGCTTTGAACACATTTTAAAACTTATTACTGCTATACCTCAACAGTGAGCGATTTCTTATTACAAATCTAGGACCTGCATGTACCAATAAAGGTCACTTTGATGAGATATATTACTGAACCACTCTACAAATCTGCTGACTTTCCTGTAATGTAGCCATCTATTGTGGGTCATGTTATAATACATCAGATTGTTTGACTTAGTGTGCAACTCAACAAGACTGTAAACTAAAACATGTACAGGAAGCTAAAGTGTAAATAAGGGAAAACTGAAATATTAGGCAATTTCAAGAGTTGAGATTAAACACCCTTGAAAGATTCTCCTATATCACACCATGACAGTGATAGACTGCTTCACCTATTAGCTGAAAATGTACGTTGTACCTAACCAATGAGTTCCTAAACAGATGTGGTTCACCTGTATACTTAATTCTGATCAAAGATAAAACCCTAATAAGTTTTGTCTTTTGCCAAAACATATTAACTCTAGAAAATAATAATAAAATGGACTGTTGATCCTCAGTTTTTGTGACAAAATAGTATAACTACAACATTCTTTAACTTGGTAGTCATTTATTTGAATCATAAAAAATAGTGTGAGGTCAAGACTGCACTACAATTAGGCTCCAGTGTCTGGCTGGAATTAAATTTGCTGTTAAACCTACCTGATGGTTGCCCATTTTTACATCAATCACTTGAAGGATGTCATTGATTCTATGTAGTTTCCAGTGATAAAATAAAGAGACTATACGTGAGGAAGGTATTTCTTCCAAGTTGAGTCATTGATGATATAGTATGGTTTATAACCTGAGGAAGGTATTTCTTCCAAGTTGAGTCATTGATGATATAGTATGGTTTATAACCTGAGGAAGGTATTTCTTACAAGTTGAGTCATTGATGATATATTGTGGTTTATAACCTAAGGAAGGTATTTCTTCCAAGATGAGTCATTGATGATATATTGTGGTTTATAACGTGAGGAAGGTATTTCTTCCAAGTAGAGTCAGGAATAATATGGTGTAGTTTATAACCTGAGGAAGGTATTTCTTTCAATTTGAGTCATTGATGGTATATTGTGGTTCATGTTATAATACATCAGATTGTTTGACTTAGTGTGCAACTCAACAAGGACAGGTTAACTTTTAGTAAATTGGAAATTTTTTTCTGTAAATACAATGCTTTTTCCAGCTAGAAAGAGTAAAGCGTGGTTTATAACCTAAGGAAGGTATTTCTTCCAATTTGAGTCATTGATGATATATAGTGTAGTTTATAACCTAAGGAAAGTATTTCTTTCAAGTTGAATCATTCATTGATTATATAATATAGTTTATAACCTTAGGAAGGTATTTCTTCCAAGTTGAGTCATTGATGATATATTGTGGTTTATAACCTGCAGAAGGTATTTCTTCCAAGTTGAGTCATTGCTATAAAGGCACATACGTAGTGGCTAAGAATAAAGGAATACCAAGAAATTGGTTAATCATCTGGTGATACATTTTAAAAGATAACCTGTGTATATTCTTTGCATTAAAAGTCTGATCATTACATATCAGTTATATAGTGTTCTAATGGCTAAACTTTGTTTTAAGTCAGGAGTTTTGTTGAAGGGAACAAGTAATACGTGTGTACTTACCTAAACATATACGTACAAAGCTTAAGATAACTGTAGTAAAATGAAAGACAAGTCCCATGATGCCTCAGTTTTATTAAAATGGTGGTAATTACAGCTTGAAATGATGATATAAAAATCAAACCTGATTAAAAAATAAGAATCTGCTCACTATGTAAGAAACTCATTTTCCTCACAAAGTACACAGGCAATAGGTTAAATTAAAAACTTGACTTTTATTCAAAGTCACATTTGTCTCTTCAGGGTGTTCTCTCTCTCTCTGGTTTCTAACATTTCTGTACTTAACAGAAATTACGGGGATTAATTAATGAAACAAAATCTTGAAAGCATTTCATAGGCTTATCATCAACACTGATTATATGAAGTAGTTCATGGTTCCCCAGATGTTTGTTAGTGGCAGGTCACATAGTATTTCAAGTGCAGCTTCTGGACACTATTTACCAATAACAAGAATGTATCATGGCTTTATTAAAGGAATAGGAAACAAGTATTAAGCAACTAAAGAGTTTTAAAGGCACTCTTATTTGTTTTTTGCCTCACTCGAGAACCTTGGTGTAGCTTATAAAATATTCATCCGTCACACCCATTAAGTTAGAGAAAAACCACCTCCAGTTACTTCTTTCAAATTACTTAAAAAAATTATACAGACTCTTCCAATACTTCCTGTAGAAAGTGAATGGTTGCTGGTTTTACACTAAAAGCTACAATATTATTAAATTAAAATAACTTCTCCATGCACATAAAACTTAACTATACAAACATTGAGCATTTTTGGAATTTTGAGTGAGCAAATAAGAATGAATTGAAAAATAATGGGGGTGAGTTATATCTGACTTTCTGTGGTGGCTCATAGAAAATGGCATGTTTCTGTTGTGATGGAACATACTGCAAGGGAGGGAAGGAATGAAGAGGATATATGCAAACCAAACAAAGAAATTAAGAAAAAAAGTAAAATAAAGACTAAATTATAAAAAAAAATTTAAACTAGATTTTATTACTTAACCACAAAAGTAAACAAGCTGTCTAAAATCAGAATTCAGAAAAATATGTATTTGTACAGAAAGAACAAAGAACAGAAAGAAAAACTTTTGGTACTAATGCAGAAGAAAGCTGCTTTTGATTTTATTCGTTGCACAAAGTGTCAGTAGTTTCAATGAAATTGTAAGTCTAGAAAACAAAAGTTACAAGAACAGAAACTATACTGAAATAAAGTGTTACAAACTTTAACATAAACCATAACTTTTTTTTTCATCTCTCTCTCTCTCATCTGGAAGGAAAGAGCAGAAATTTCAAGAAATAACGTTTGAATGATCGTTATGATGAAATAAATGGAAGTTTTGTTTTTTGAAATTCTTAAAATGTTCTTCAATGTTGAACTATTAGAGGACAGTTTTTCATTTAATGTTATAAGCTTTTACAGTATCTTTATCAATTTTAGATTTTCATAACATCATGGCTTATTTTGTTGCTGTATTTTAATAATTTACTTTCATCGGTACAAATTTCCTTCATAGGGAACGCTTAACTATATACATTTGTTTGTAGTGAAGATCAAGATAATTTTCAATGTGTGAAAAGCTAAATTATAGCAACAGTAACAACATAAAAATGTATCTGTATGGATCAAGTAGTCAAGTGTAAAATTGATTGTTGGTGGAAACAAATTTTGAAGTAATACCACATTATCTAACATATTCTTGTATCGTTGCCATGTGTGTGGGTTTACAGGACTGGTCTGTTAGAGCTGACTTTAAACTTGATATATAGAAAAACAAAGACAAAGTTAGAAGACACATTTTGGTAGCTATGGTAACACCAGTTGGGATCTAATTAGTATTCACTACTGAATTCAAAGTTATTATTTGAGACAAAACTAGTCTGGCTAGGTCAATGACACACAGCACCATTTACCTTGCATGGTATCAAAATATAACAATTAATATCCCTAGACTACTCGTGGGAAAATTTTTTAACATTTTATATATATATATATATATATATATCTTTAACAGATACATACACCTATGGGTGCATTGTCATTCTTTATCTTTTTTTTTCTTTCTTTTTATTAATACTTTTGCTGTATGCTTTTCACCAATATTTCTACAGTGTTTTCCCCCTTAATTACTTTTTTGTTTACCATATTTTCTCTTTAGTTTTCTTTCTGCCACACCCAAAATCACTCGCACCTGCCACACCACATAACATGTTTTAACCCCAACAACACTCACACGGAGATACACTGTAGAAACTTATGGCATCACAACATTCACACTTTCTTGATGTCATGGAGAGATTAGAAATTTTGGCATCACAACATTCACACTTTCTTTGTGTCAAGGGAAGCCAATATAGTAATCTACATCATCACAACATTCACAGTCTTACACCATCATCAGTTGAGCAACAGCCAACCAAGAGGCCCTGTGAATTACCTTGAAAACAGCCAAGGGACAACCTGCTGATGACTCCACCCATCACCATCATTTCACTGATTTCTTACAAGCACATTATAAGTAATCCACAATAAGCAGCAACTTTGGGTTATGCCAAGTGAAGAATAAATTGAACAAGGAAAACACTTGTGTAAAAAGAAACAAATATTTTGACAAATGAGATTGGAAAGAAGTGCCAATACCTTTTTTCCCATCACTGTCAGTTTGTTTGTTTGGGTGTAAAGCTACAAAATAGGCTATCTTGTGCTGTGTCCACCACAGAAAATCAAACTTCAGATTTTAGTGTTGTAAGTTAATAAACTAATGAACTAAGCAGCTCATAATGTTCTCATGGCACACTGGATCAGTGCAGTTGTGGTGACTGGTGCCAGGCATGTCAATCAGGAGGTCAAAGGGGGACATTGCCTCCCTCTCCCTAGCAGTATTATGTCTTAATCACAGTTATCCTATGTTAAGCAGTAAAAAATGCAGATGTATATTCTTACCCATGTCTGCTGAATTATTTCACTACCTGACAAGTGACATGTGGTATTTAAGATATC